TTTACTTACAATTTACAAATGGGCTCTGCAGAAAAACCAAGAAACTTGCTAACCTAAGTAATTCAATTAGAATAAAAGTGTCCAATATAAAATATGTAATAGGCTACTCTAGATACTCTAGACTACACAACTTTCTGTATAGAAGATTTTTATTTTACTCAGCATTTCCTGAAGTTATATTCTAACAAAAAGGCACATTATCAAGTAAATAAAACTGCATGTATAGGGCCGGGGACAAAACTCAGTGGAATAAGTGCTTGCCTGGTAAGTGCAAGATCCTGAGTTTGATCCTTGGTACCACCAAACAAACAAACAAACAAACACCTAACCAAACAAACAAAAAAACAACAACCTGCAGGTATACATATTTTAATCACTTAAAATCTTAGAAATGAAGTAAAAATTTGATGAAGGAAAAAATAATTAGTGGCAACAATAGTTGTCTTCTGTTAATTTTCACATACACCAGTTACTTATCCAAGCATTAAATATGAATAACTCCGTTTAACCTATGAAATGATTACTACTCTTATGCCACTCTACAAATGAGGAAGCAGTTTACAGCAGTATTAAATAACTTGAAAGAAGTTATAAACAGCTGCTGAGTGCAAAACTAACACTCAACTTGAGGTCTATTCGGTCTATACCAAAGCCTAGCCTTTAACTCTATTTATGTTGCTCTATAACTGTGGACATCTTATTTTAGCCCAGGTAGTGAAACCCAAAATCTTCAACACAAAGAATGCCAAATGGAAAAAAAAATTTTTTTTTTTAATTTAGTTTTCTACCTCAAGTACAAAGCTGATACACTGTCAGTACTATTTAGTTAAGTGGCATCTCATATAGTCTTTTTTTTTTTTTTTTAGGGAAGGCTCTACAAGGTGTTCAGGTCTCACTAGATCAGCCTGTTTACAGCCTCCCAAGAGCTGGGATTACAGGCGCGGGCCACCACACCAGTCTCAACTGCTGTCACAGCGTGCCCCAGGGGTAGGGCTGGCACAGGAGGCCCGGGGGATCAAACCCTTGAACCCTGTGCCTTATATAGTTTTAAAATAAGGTAAGAAAAGATTTTTTTTGTTTTTTCGGTTGGCTCAGGATGCCTTCAGGGCAGGTCCAGTAAGGCTTGACGATCTGGGGATCCAACCACAGCAACCTGAGCCTGACTGTTCTTTAAGCAGTCACTTAAACAACTGAGCTAATGGGCAGCCCCCCCCCCCCCGCAAAAGTTTATTTGGAACAGAAAAGGTGGGTCTCAACATACTATAATGAAACCTCAAAATATATGCATTCATATTAGTGAGCTGAATTAAAGGACTTAAGATAAATTATTTCTCTAGCCTGTAAGTTAACTTCAGTTGATTTTTACTTACTGCTTTTTATTTATAAGATCAATGTTGGAATCAAGTACTCAAAAGGATTTAGATTTAATAGTTCAAAATGCACAAATAAATAAAATTTTAGGCACTGATTACAATAAAACCTTCACAACTTAAAACTTAGAATGAAAAAAGTTTCATATTACATACAAAACACAATTAAAATTTCTAAATAAACTAGTGTCCACATCATTTGAAGCAGGATATTTTTGTCAAAAAGACTCCCGCACTGAAGATTTTATAATGAAATTAATCTGATAAATTAATCTCATCATTCAAATTTTGTTTTACAAAAGATTGCCAAATACACTTTTTAAACAAATTAAGTGGTTACAACCCAAAATGAACTAACCTATTTTCTATATGACCTAGAGTAGTCTTCCTCAAAATATATTCTCAAGACAATTAACAAATGTTACACAAACAGTTCTCATCGTAGTGTTTTGGAAATTCAGTTTTTGTCCTGAATTTTTCAAACTCATTGATTTTAACTACATTAATATAATTTCCAGGGTTTTTTCTGTTTATTTTGTTCAGTCTTATGTTTTCTTGAAGTGTCAGGATTGAATCTAGCACTTGGCACTAAGCTCCATCTCCAGCTTTTAATTTTTTAACCTGAGACAGGGTCTTAGTAAGTTGCTACATTATACAGGTTGGGCCTACACTTGTGATTATCCTGCCTGTGGCTACCAGAGTACTGGGATTATAGGTGGGCACTATCATTACTGGGTATAATTTCCCTATTGTGAAAATTTGTGTGTAGCTACTATTACAAGTATGCAATGTAAGACTCACTACACTTTTATTAACAAAATACTAATTTAAAAATATACATATACTTTATATACTGAAATATGAGTTTAAAAATTTGACATTTTAGCCCCTTTCCCTTTTTCCTTCTGTTTCTCTGCTGCAACACTGTCAAAAACCTATCACTTTTATGTTTTTAGTCATTGCATTTCATCTTATGAAACTGATTTTTACCTATTTATATATTACACTCTGAGTGTTTAGTAGTACTTTATATAAAAACGGTAAGCTGTGGCCTTCTTTCTGCAAGTATTTTTTATATCCATGTTACTTGTTTCATTCATGTTCTATCTTCAGGAATTTATTTTTTAATTAATTTTATTGAGAAACAAATAGAAATGAGATAGTTTCAAAACCAACTAATAGGACAGTTTCAATAATTAATACATTGCATATTGTCTTCATAGTGGTTATTCATAGTACAAGAGGCAGACATGATATATACAAACACTATTAGTACAAATTTTTCTTCTCATTGAATTAAAAGAAAGTGGCTGTGTATCTATCTTAAATATTTTGTATATACAGATACAAAATGGTCCTTCATTTATATCCCCTTTTTAATGGTTTAGTGTTGTCAGAGATGGGTATTCCATTGCCATTTAAATACTGCAGGTGTGTGAAATGAGCAAAATAATCAATATAGTCCAGCAGTCCATAATAGTAGTGGGTTACCCGAAGGACTGACAATGTCAGAAGTTGTTGACTTGAGCCTTTTACAGCTCAGCATATTAATAAAGCTTAAATTTTCATACCTCATTATTATACTTTTCTGCTGGATGGTTAAGACCAAGATAAACCAAGACCTATATAACAAGAAGTGTAACTTTTAAATCTGACATGGTCAGTCAAATCTCCTCAGGATTTAGCCTAAAACCCTGTACTGCAGTTTGTAGATCCCTTGTCAGGGTCAGCCATGTGGATGAGTCACGGCCATTGCTTGACCAATTTTTTCTCTGTGAAAGTCTGAGAGAATGTTTCTCTCCATGTGATTCTCCTTAGGCACAGTGTACGGCGTCAATCACTTTCCTGTGTGGCCCCATAATCTCCTTAATCACAAAATTTGGGACATCACTGAGTTATAGGTTGTTACAATACAGGATCTCCTATGTCCTGAGTCCTCACCGACCTTGAAAGGCTAGGGCCAAAATGTTGGCTGACCTTGCAGCCCTTCTTATTCTCTAATTTTTGGTCTACAAACTTAGGTTGTTAACCCTCCAGAAGAGAAACTTATTATTATCCTACAACATAGGCAGTTGAGCTTAACCTCACTATCTGTCTGACTATCAAACATCTTAGACGTAGCATGGAACAGTTATTTTCCATCAAGTACTGACATGTTAAACTTTAAATCCCTACAGGATGTGAAGAAGGAAAAAAAAAAAAAAAAAGAAAGAAATAGTTTTAAAAAACTGGAATAAACAATTATATATTTTTACACAGAAATTTAGAAATCTAACCATATACAGGATTGTAGCAGGTCAGTTCTATGACATTTTTTTCTTGTCTCTTGTTTTCATGTATTACTCTTTTTTTTAAAATAAACATTTATTTGAGAGACAGTATAGCAGTAATTGATATGACATAACAAGCCGTATGAATTTAGAAGACCAGAATGACAGGCATTCCAAGCATGAGCTTAGTATTACACATTGCTATCTTCAGTGCAGTTACTCAGTTCACAGGTATCAGCATATATAGTCAGGGTGAGAATCCTACCAATTAACTGCTAGTTTCAAAAACTTGCTGAAGATTCTCAGGATCACTGCCTTAACCATCTTGTGATTATAAATGTATGGTTTTGCCCCTTTCATGTTTCCTAGCTTTTCTCCTTGCCCTCTCTTCATTGTCTAATCCTTAAATTCTTGCTTTCCTTTTAACTGTATTATATCTTTCTCTTTTTATTTCTTCTTTTGAGTTCTTACACTAGTGAGACTATATGATATTTTTACACATGTGGGTCTGATTTATTTCACTTATGAGTATATATTCAGGAATTTAAATTTCAAATAGCAACATCTATTTTTCCTAGAAATTTCTTATACAGCTATTAAATTCTGGATGTCTTCTACCATCTAGAAACGTGATACTCATATTTATATCTACTTGGGTATTTTTCTTTTTCTTCTTGTTGTTGCTATGTGGTTTTTTAAGAGAGGGGGGTCTTACTATGTAATCCAGGATGGCCTTGACCTCACTATGTAGCCCAGGCTGGCCTCAAACTTCTAGCAATCCTCCAGTCTCACATTCCCTAATCTCACATGCTGAGATTACAGGCATGTAATACAGGCTTATATCTAGCTTTATAGGAGGCTTTTATTTAAAAGATGACATGCTTTAAAATTATTTGTTTTTGTTCTAAAGGAAGGCATGCTAGGGAGAAAAATGCAAAATATATATAGCTACACAGTTTAAAAAGCAGAGGTCCATGTTCTTCCAAACTTTAGTTATGAGGTAATAACTATTATTAGTATTGTTTTCTGTCCATGTATAAAAAACACAGCCAAAACTTACTAACATTTCACCTTTTCCTTTAATAACCTCTTAGCTTATCCCTAAAACTAGAGAATGGTAAAGGTAGAATGTATTACTAAAGATTTAAAATGTCTAAGAAGTATATGACAATTCAAGATGCTAAGACATCATTACAGGATTCCTTATTCAAGAAATGACCTTTCAAGGACCTGGTAACTTAAAAAACACAAATTTTGAAATGATGGCTTATTTTAGTAACTTCAGACAACTCAAAATGCCAGTATTTTTCTCAATATAAAGCATACAAATCGAATATTACAATAAAAGCTAGTAACTTACTTGGGATACACTGGTTCATAAAGGTACTTGTCCCCACTTGAAGATGTAATATGAAAAAATAAGATGTAGCCATTTGCCGTCTGAAAGAGAAATTTTATCAAAAATGAATTCAAAAAATTAAAGCTAGGGCTGTTGCTCTAAATTTTAACTTTATATGTCCTTACTTTGAGAACAATCTCACTCTTTAAGAAACTTCCTTTGAAAATGTTCAAAAGGAAAGAGGACCAAGAGTTGGGGGAAGGAAAGGAAAGGAAAAGGGAAAAAAGAATAGAAGGAAGAAATAGAAACAAAGGTTGGGTAAATGAGGGGAAAAGAGTTGAAGGAAATTTTTAAAATATAATCTAATTTTTAAATGTTTTTTATCATATTATGCAGGGACTTAAAGTTCAATATATCAATACTTGAGGAAAAATACCTGTTCCTTATTATGCCTAAGATGTTTGAAATGCAGTGAGATAGTGAGGTTAAGCTTAATAGCCTAAATCGTTTGATA